CTTGCATTGGTGATATGTTGGTAATAATGGTGATGTATACTATGCTGAATAAGTACATCAGAGAAATAAGATAAGTAATTAATCGAAAAACACCAAAGGTTCTCAAAAATTATGGACCGACCTAATATTTTGATCCTCTTTTAGGACGAAACTTTGCATAGATTTCAAGCCGAGAAGTGAATTTGCTAATTCATTTACAATTTAAATGTCCTCTTTTTTGTTTCGAGTCTTGAATTTATAACGTGAAGGTTTAGGAAGGCAAAAAGTGACTAATGAAGAGTTTATGACAGATTCCCATGATGGGGAACCGAAATTTTTGTGTGTATTGAATTAGCAAAATCTCTTACAGTTAATCCATTCTCTGTATCGTCCCTAAAATAGGAAAAGGAAAGCATGAACATTTGAATGAACTTCGGAACAATGAATATGGAACAAGTAGAACAATGAACAGTCGCCTTTCAGTCACCGCTGTCAAGCAACTTTGCGGTGGGATTTGCAGCACATCACAGTATTGGTCTTGGCATTTGCGATTTCTCCGATTCGCGCGAATAGCAGAAGTAAAATAATCGACTCGAATAATCGTAGCCGAATAATCGATGCGCGTTCTGCGGATAACGCAACACCCGAGTTGAGCACTAAATTTGAATTGGTACAGGTTGACGTCGCGTTTTGCCATGCTGCTACATATCTAGGACCTATATCTACAACTGACTTTCTGTGACCTCAATCGGGGGCATCGCTCGAGAATTCACTTTCCCTCTAGATTTGCACTTCAACGTAGCGCTATACGGGAATAGACGACGCATTGTGGGTCGCCATAGCGATGAACTACTCTAGAAAAAGTATTGAGATTCACTATGCCAAATATGCCAGTTGACCCGTTGGCGACATTGCGTCTCCACGTGTAGATACCCATCTTTGCCACGAGGGATAATGTGGCTGTGTGTGGGACGCAGCATAACTCTTGTTTTTTTTTCAGATTTTTCAATGTTATTACGACGGCATATTGCTCAGGAAGACATCATGGTACTCATGGTGATCATGG